GGATGACACCAAAGTGCGTCTATTTGAACAAATGTTTAAGGGCAAACAAAATTTCTTGCAAAAGGACTTATATCTCGGTGGAAATTACTTTTCGTTTTATTTAAAACCACAACTGAATTTATGCTATATGAAGTCATGGCCTTTTTATTCAGACTATTTGGGCCCGATGTAGTTTGGTCCTTGACGAAAAGTTGTAGTGTTGAGCAATTGATTTTATTTACGAAATTTCTAGATTTTTAATTGCTGTGAACTTAGAAAAAAACACAATGTATATACAGTATATATATATATAAATGTATATATATCTGTGATTATAAAGTTAAGTCTATTCGTATACTGTAAAAAAACACATTGTGCTTTAAAAAAATCCCCAAAACACCAAGCCTGTTGAGAAAGCTTCTCTAAAGGAATAGCAGAAAAAGAAACAAAATTGAACTTCAATAAGATAACCGAATGGTCTATGGACCAACATGGAAACAGTTAGAGCTAATCATAAATCCATAATCTTAAAATTTGAGATGTTTGTGTAATTGCCAAAAAATACATCATTTAAATTTAGGATTATCATTATGCCTATAATAATTATTCAACTATCATTTCAGAAAATGAAAATTGTATTTTCTTCATGCGATATAAATTATACTTTTGCATCAGCTCATGTAAATATTCCACAAGAAATGAAATCTTTTATGTACATGTTCATCACTTGTCTTGTGTGGCTATTTGTATTGTAGTGGTCCTATCATATTTTCCCCACCCCCTCCATTAATGGAATCACTTGGAGACACATATAGGCCAATAACTTTATTCTAAATAATTGTTTAAAATATATAATGTGTTCATCTATGTGATAACTATTTAATTTCTACTCATTTGATCTTGATGAGCGTTTCGTCATGTTATGCTACACGTCAAGTACAGGACTTAGGAAAGAGTGGTTCATACGCCCGTCTGCAACTAACCCAATTCCACGCCTTGGGCGTTGAGATCGCGCGTTCCTATCGACCGGTAATCGCGATATAAGAACGGGACCTGTGAAAGAGTTAGATCTTTATCTTCATGCTACTTGATCAGGAGTCAAAAGACATTAAAACAACAAAGGAAGAATAAAAACGAAAGAATTGGAAGACACGATTTTGTCACGAGCAGCACCGTTCAGAATTGAGTTCATTACATATGATATAGAAGATTTGGAAACTAATATCGTTTCTTTTTTTATTAATTTTTAATAGAAAAGAGATGGACCATAAACTGTGGGAATATTATTTGGTTGCTAATATCATTACTTTGCTAAAAAGATGGTAAAGCTCGTTATATTCAAGAGAATTCATTAAAATATGTTGATATTCTTTCCGACACCTCCCTACGAAAAGATCATCGGGACCGCGTCCTGAAACGTTCATTTTTACTCACTTACCCATACCCGTCCCCCCCCCAAAAAAAAATACATATAGATACGACTCCGTTGGTTTATCCAGATAATGAAACACGCGTGCAATCTCAAGTGGCAGAATCCCCCCTCCCCCACTCAGTGTTATTTAGGTTACGCATATGCTTGTTCCCTCTTTTTGAAAGCACCCCCTATCTGAGGACTGCCAACATTTCCGAACCCCCCTTTCGCGGGCTTTTCCTGCTTTGGAGACCCCCCAAAATCTTGAAAAATGCTCAATGTACCCCCCTAAATTCGGAATAATTTCTCAGGAGTCCGAAGAGATGAGAAAAAACAAAAAAAAAAAACAAACCCTTTTTAAAGAAATCTCCGGGTGAAAAGTTAATACACCCCTTTTTTTTGTTACAATTCTCGGGCCGGACTTTGTCGCACGAAAAGTACCCCTTTACCGGACATTTTGGTAACACGCATGGGGTCCGTCCGTTCTCGGAGTGGGGGGCCGGGGGCAGAATGTACTAGGTGTATCGATAAGTATTCTTTAATTGATGGGGTCTGTATTCTTTAAGTGGAGGGGGGAGGCGGCAGCTCAATTATACTTTTCCCCCAGATAAATACACGTCATTACTGTTCACCATTGACTATAAACATGTAGGATAATTAATCATTATGCTCATGGGGGAGAATGATTGACAAGCACTGGGGTTTCTAGGGCCCATCCATCCGGGCTGACCAGATTAAACTTTAAAAAAAAAAGCAGAAACACGAAGTTGCAAACCATCCAGAGACTCCTAATAAATTGCGTTACTTATTAATTAATTATTTCATTACAAATCTTTATTCTCAGTTTTCTTATGAAGACTATAACTGATTTTCTTATAAAATTGAAGATATTTATGGCGTATATATTCAATACTGAATGAACGCCATAAAACATTTACCAACAACAACAACAACCATCCATCTCAGCCACTCTTGAGCTCATAACACCGGCTTCCTTTGAAACAAAGAATAATTTTTAAATTACTCTTGTGTGTCTACAAAATAATATCGGTATAATTAAATGTGAATCCTAACCAGGGGCGGATCCAACCGGCGACAAGGGAGGGGACCAAATAGGGGGCCCAATTCGTGAGAAAATATTTAACGGCGATTCAGCCAGCCGGCGGGGGTGGGGGGAAGTGGGCACTATTTTTGTTTTACTCAACGCTCATCCCCCCCCCCCCCCCCTTTGAGCCAGGGAGACGGGGGCCGTATTTTTTTTAAAGGTTAAATTTACCTATTTTTTTAAACCAGGGGAGGGGGTCCGGGTCCCCTAGATCCGCCACTGATCCTAACGTCATTATGCCTGCAAGAATGGCCTTCTTGCTTGCAGCCGACGAACCAATTTCAGGTCTACCCAATTATTCGTGCGCTTTGGTCATGAGATGGCGTTATTTATGAGCTGAAGTAGACTCTAAGCTGAAAAAGTACTTTATTTTATAGACAGAGTAAGTAATTGGGAGGAGGGAGGGAGTGAGGGAGAGAGGGAGAGTGTGTATATGTGTGTGTGTGTGTGTGTGTGTGTGAGAGAGAGAGAGAGAGAGAGAGAGAGAGAGAGAGAGAGAGAGAGAGAGAGAGAGAGAAATGTGGGAGGTGGGAGGGGGCACCGTAGACAGCAATGCTAAGGGAAATGGTCGCCCTTAAAATCCACCCCAAAGACGAAAAAAAAAAAAAAACAGAGAGAAAGCGGGAAAAAGAAGGAAGTAAATGTAAAGAAAAAAGATATAATCATCTTCCACTGGGAAAAATACATCAAGTTACATTATAAATAAGTTAACAAAGTTTCAAGTAGTATAATTTGAATGCAAAAAAAAAGAAGAATAAATATAAATATTTTGCCAAGAGACAGAGAAATAGATCCACAAAAGAATAACAAATAATGCAATCTAAAATCGAAGGTAAAAAAGGAGGGAATTGACTATTTTGCCCGGCCCCCCCCCCCCCCACTCCGGGAACGGAGGGACCGCATGCGTATTCCCAAAATCTCATGCCGTCGTAAGGAAAAAAGATCTGCCCGTATTGACTTTACACACCGAGCTTATCCTGAAAGGGGGGGGGGGGGGGGGGGGGGGGGTAAGAGGACACTTTTTTTGGGGGGGGGGGGGGGGGGGGGGGGTAAGAGGACACTTTTTTTGGGGGGGGGGTCTCGAAATTTGAAAATTTGACATTTTGTCCAGTTGGGGGGGGGGGTAAGGTCACCTTTTTAATGTCACCTATTGGCATTTAAAAAAAAAAAAAAAAAAAAAAAAATCAAAAGGGAAGGGTTTTCCAAAATAACATACAAAAAACATTCACAAAACAAACTCGAGGGGGGGGGGGGTTTAACCCCAAAACCACCCCCCTGCGTACGCGCCTGCATCATAATAACTTAAGTTATTTCTTGGGGTGAGGCTTTTTTGTTTTCAATGATATTTTATTTTCTCCATTGCTTTTCACTAACAATAACAAAAATAACAATAACAAAATCAATACATAAAATAATCTGCATGTTAATATTATTATATAGAATATGATTTTACATGTCACATCTAAATAATACAAATGAGCTTTTACTATTTACATCAAATAAAGCATGAAACATGCATGCATGAAGAAGGCATGAACATAAAAAGACATTTAAGGAAAAGAAAAAGAAAGAAAGAATAAAAGAAAAAACACACACGCACACAAACACCCGCACACACACACTTACATACACACACGTGCACAGACACCCACACAAACACCCACTGAAAACATGCCTTCATTTTGTGAGAATCTCGACCATTATATCAGCCATGTCCATTTCATTGCTTCTATTCGACTTCCTTATTTTATTTATTCTTCACGAAGCTATTCTAAAATTGTCCCACTTTCTAAAAAATGATAATGTTCTTCGGTCCCCAGCTAATTTCTTCTCCTCCTTTCTATTTTCTAATAATCTTTTCTTAATCTCCAAATAAGTTGGTGTTTTTGTCTATTTTTACTATCTATAAATATCATATATTTTATCAAAATTATGATATGATTTAATAACTGTTCCTTCCCTATGTTTAACTCAAATATCCTACATGGATATCTTTCCAATTTATTTTGTAATCTCTACTAAATTAAATAAATTCTCACACTCTTCCCAAATTGGTTTTACTTTCTCACAAAGACAAAATAAATGCTCGTAAGTTTCTTCATATTTACCACAAAAAGAACATAAATTACTATTAACCATTTTAAATGTATATAAATGTAATTTAGTATATATAATATTATGAGGCATTTTAAATTGAAATTCTCTAAGCTTACTATTCAATGTGCATTTTGTAAGTCTTAAAAATATTAATTGTATCTTTTCCATGAATATTATAACTCTGTTCTAAATTTCGTTCTGCATATGATTTTTCTACTCTCTTATTTAATAAAAAAGTGTATATAATTTTTGAGGTTATTTTATCTAACATATATAACTTTTCAATCATAATAATATCCATATCTATATTTGAGTGAGTATTTTTATTTAAAAATTGTTCCATAAAGGAAGGAAGTCGGCTCCTTTAACGTTACGTTGAGAACGGACGTAGAGGGAGTGCGCAATCTCGTTATTATTCATTACAATATCTCGCGAGATCCTGTGCGGCAGCAAATTCTATTTTCATGCAAAACGACAGGAAATACTGCCGAAAATTGATAAAACGACCTACAATCAGAGGTCAGATATGTCAGAGCCAGAGCAGGAGGAGAGTAAAGGTACGCATGTCTTCTTTGGTTCATACAATGATTATATATTGATAGTTATTTGTGTGTGATTGTGCAAAGAGTGAGGTGTAGTAATGAGCTATGCGCTGTATTTTGCAACAAAGCTTCAAAGCTACGCGCAGGTCAATGTTGTCATCACTGCATGACTTTGTGCACGCGCCAGTCACTGGGAGGCCGACTGTCCGGCCATGGCCATGCATGTCGTTTTGTCGAGGTCGAGATTAAGAATTTAATCAGCCCACAAAATATCAATAGTTAACCCCAAAATGGCAAACAGTGTTATGAAATGAAAATCGAAAGATATGAATGATTAACAAGCTAAATTTTCAGGAATCGTAGAAGACACCGTGTCCGTGACCGTCCATTGATTAACTAGTAAAACTAGATTGTAATTTCAGTAGGGATGCTGGTTCGAGAATGAGGATCGTCTGCATAAGCCAGGATATTCTCGTAAGTCGTAAACACAGATAAATTGCATCCCAATAAATAAGGATCGTTCTCATTTTCGCAGATATTTTTTTCATCAGTGCTCTGCAGGTTGCGGGTTCCCGAACCACGCGCAAGCGATGCAAAAAACGGATTACGCTTAGGCTAGATCTAGACCTAATACAGAAATAAACCCAGTTCACCGACTACTTCTGTATGGGTTGTCCCGTCTTCCCGAGGATTTATCGCTCATAATGTGAAAGTCTCTGTACAAAGTCAATGTGAAAATGAAGAAAATCTTTGAGGAATCCGTTTTTTCGCATCGTGCACGTGAAGTTAGCAACCATAATGATCATCATCAATTCATAATGCGAACTTCTTGCATGCATTTAATGTGGATCTGAGCTTACAGTCACTAATTTCACATGCGCACCGGTTTGCTGTGAAACCTGTGAGAAAGTGTTAACTAATGTCTTCGTTTTTAGGAAAAATACTGACTTTTAAATCATGACCGTTCTTTGAACAATTGTGGAAGATATGAATGATTTTTGGTGTGCTATAGAATATAGTAAGATCCATGCTGGAGTCACAGGTCCAAAGTATGGACACAGTTCTGAACAAGTGCTGAAAATTGAGGGAAAAAAGAGAGAACTGAGTAAAGTATCAAGGAAACCGCAATTGATCATGTTTAACTTAAAGTTTAAAGAAATTCCGAAAAGTTGTGATTTGTCGATCAATTACCGAATTGGCAACCGAAGGAAAAAAAAGCAAGCACTCTCCTGTGATCATACCCAGACATTGTATGTCCGGAAAGGTTTTGTGTCCAGACAGTTGATTTAAACAGTAACTTGAAGAAGTTTTTGAGCACTATTTCATAAATATTCTAAGACCGTACAGATTTGACAATATTATAAAGGACAAATATTCATGATGGTTATTTTAGTCTATTTTAAACCAGCTAATTTCTTTTTGGACATCAGTTTAACATGCCAATATTTTTTCTTTTTCTGTTTTTGATGTGTTTTACCAGGAGGAGAAGATGTAGTGAATGTTTTGACAGATATTATGGCTCCGGTGGACGATGACTTTGATGAAGAAGTAAAAACTCTTACGCCTGCCAAGAAAGTTGGTAAGTTTCTTTGAATGTTTTCTCCACACTACCTTTTCCTTCAAGGTATCGTCTGAAAGTGCTACCTAGTAGATAACTTTGATATATAATATTAATGAAAAATCTAAAAGAGACATAAAGGGGTAGATATTTTTTCACCAATACACTAGAGTTATTGACATTGATACACAGTAAATAAATGAAAAGGCAGGGTTCTGGGCTTAAAAAGCCACAGGGAATTATTTAATAGGAAAAGGCATGAGTTAATTGTCCTGTAGCTTTGTGTTTTGAGAACTGCATTGCTACGACTGAGATGGGTACCTTATCAAAATGCTATGTTGCTTCTTGGTAATACAAGGCTTAGATGTGTCATTTGTAATTTGGAATGTTTATGGTTGACATACTAAGATCTTTGTCTGAAGAGCTATGTGCCTATTATCCCCTATCTCTCTATTTTTTTAGTAGTCAAGAAAGTCACAAAAGCCACAAAATCTACAGCACAGACAAAGACTGTTAAAAAACCAGCAAGCCCAGCCACTGCCAAATCTACAAAGCAAGCCCCAACTCCGGCAACCAGCGAAGAACCAGCACCAAAGACTGAAACCACAAGTGAACAACCCCCCAAAACCACCCCATCCACCACAGCCACCACAGCGGCTACCACAGCCACGACTCCTGCAAAGTCAGCGACCACTAGCTCAACACCGGTCACCAAGACCAAGAAGGTCATCAAGAAGACTCCAGCCAGTGCTAAGTCCGGAGGAGCAGCAGCAACAAAACAAGCCACAGCCAAGCCCACGGCAGGGAAGTCCACTGCTGGGACTACAGGATCAGCAGCTAAAAAGAAGCCAGTGAAGGTGGTAAAGAAGCCAACACCGGCCTCTGGGAAAGCCAAACCTGCAGCTCCTGCTGAAGAGAGTGTGGATAAGGCCAAAGCAGAAACTGTTGAAAGTGCAAAGGCTCAGGAAGAGACTGCTATTACAGAGAAAGAAGAAACATTGGTACTTTTTTTTAAAACTTCTTATATTAAGATTTTGACCTGATCATTTCTCCCAAATGTTATTTCATTTGTGAGATTAGAGCATTTATACCTGTTGGTGCTGTGTGTTTGTGAAGTCTTGAAATCCTGTCTCAAAAAAACTTTACTTGGCTGACCACTTTCTTATCTAATTTAGGAAACAATTTTCTTCAGTATTAGTGATTACAAAGCTACACGAATGGCATGCAAATTTATGTAATGACAAATTATCTTCTCATTAAGTAATATCAGCTTTTATTGTTATACCAGGTAATGAAAACGCAACTAATTCATTATAGTCTTATATAACAAGTTGTAGCCAATTCTGAGTTGTTTCAAATGATTAGTCCAGTCTTTTAGAAACTTGTGGTATTGGTGTTAGTTGTAGTTAATTACATTCTTTCCTGTTGTGTGTCCCATTTTCAAAAAGGCTCCAGAAAATACTGAAACTCCTATGGAAACAAATGAAGGTAAGAACACATTTTACAATTTCATATATTTACATGTAGATATATTATACTCATAAATGATAAAAAGGAATCACATATCAATGTATACATGATAATCCCTGTTCTAATTTATTGCATTTACTACTTCATAGATCTTTGATCCAATTTTACTTGTTTGATAATAGTAATATTAGCTGGACTTTTTTCTTCTTTAGAAGATACAAAGCCCTGAATATTTTTAGTACTCTGTCTTTGTCCCAGTTTCTGAAAATCAGGTACCCATTTGCGTAATATGGGACAAACTAAATTAATGTATTTATTCTGTTATAGAAGCAAATGTAAAGCAGCACTTGATTTAAAGACTTAAAATGTAGGAAAAAATCTTCCTTAAGTTTTCATTACTCTATCGAGACCCCTAAACAAACAATTTTAGCTGTGTACTCGGAAAGGTGATACAAAGTTTTGGGGAATTTAGAAAATTGGCTGGATAGTGATTCTTTAAAATTTGATATATTTAGATTCCCATGTGGATGTATTAGAAGCACTAGAACATTTAGGCCCTAAAATACTTTTGCTTTCGATATCTTGACCTTGAGAGGGAGCTGTACAACATAAAGAATTTATTATTTACAATTTCATCACTGTAGACTCGATTTGAACCGCGACAACAATTACTGAATGTTGTAGGATTGCATATGCTTCCAATATGTTCATTTGAACCAAATTCATGACCCCATACCAAAACTTTGTATTACCTTTAACCATGATTTTCATCTTCAAATTCAGACGACCAGATAAAAGACATCGACAACTCTGCAGAGATATCCACCGAAGCCGTGCCAGACGTTGAGATCAGCAAAGAAGGTGCCGACGAGGAGGAAGACGAAGAGCAAGAAGAAGAGGAAGAAGAAGAGGAGGACGAAGAAGAAGAAGGTGGTGACGAAGAGGACGGTAGCAACATCGTAGAGGGCGACGCGAACGGAGACGACGAAGACATGGAGCCGCCCGATTTCAATGACTCGTTTGACGTGAGGAGTGAAGCAAGCTCCAGTAGCTCTGGGAGTCAAATAGGTAAATTACTATTATTTATTCGGCAAAACAAAGTGTATACAAAAGAGTTACATAGAAAAACAAAAGATAACAATTATTTAAAAAAAAAAATTATTGTGCTTCCCATGAGCATTTACAAGTTGCCAGGAATGGGGCAGGCAAACTAAATCACCGATTATGATTATGAAGATCTTCTCTTGTACAGCTTTTGATGCTTATGCACTGATTCATTAATACCAATATATGGTAGTAGGGCAAGTCCATGGTAGGTGCAATATGACTTATAAATGGAGTTATGAACATAACCATGTTAAAAGTTTGGTCTTTGGTCTTTGGTCTCTGGTTGATATTGCGTAAAGGACTAAATGCTGATTTTCTATTTGCATTCTATAACTCTAACATTCTACATATTAATTAGCATTCACATTATTATAGTTATCATTTAATTATAGAATTATATTAGATATTATAGAAATCATTAAAGAAAAAATGTTATTGTTACAATCCATATAATATTGCTTCCCATAACTTTTGGACTGATTTGTCACCATTTTCAAGAGTTGAATCTTTCTATTTTTATTTGGTACCATGCTTTTTTAAAATTTCTTGCAGATGAGGCTGAGAGTGATCATGACAGCAGGCAGAGGTCTAGAAGAGACAGAAAACGTCAATTTTCTCCAATTGTGTATGAGGGAGAGGACATATCTGATTCTGAAGATGATGGTGAGAATATTTTTTTATTAATTGAAGCGGAACATCCATCAGGGGGTCAGTTGGAGGACCCAATTTCACTGTAATTGACGAAGAAATAAAAGAGTGTTCAATGTTTAAGTCTTCTCTAAATGATTTGGAGCATAATAAAATCAATTCTTGTGAGTGAAGAAGAATTTCACAGCTCTGTGGACTACAGTGATGAAGTATTAAGAGAGTCTAGGGCCCCATTTCACAAAACTTGTCATCAGTGACAAATGACAGTTTGTGTTATAAGCTAGTAAAATCTTTGCCTCTGATTAGTTATCAGCAGATTCTGATTTTTGCGATTTGTCATTGAATAAAGGCTTTGTGAAACGGGTCCTAGTATTATGATGAATGTTAGAAACGTTTTTTACATTGTTTCTTGTAAGTCAATCCGCAGGTTATGGGACAGTTGGCTATTTAATATATCAGTCCATAATATTTGAAATCAGGGGAAAGTAATATAATATCTTCTTTTCCTGAATGTTTATTCCAGCAGATGACAGCAACAAGAAAGCCAAGTTATCTTCATCCGTCAACGACATGAAAGGAGGTAATGTTTTGTTTGATCTGACATGGGATCATGTTGATTGTTTTATAATTTTCTCAATAAATTTTAATGAAAGAGCAAACATTTTACTTGACCATTCTTACCAGTAAAACATTTTTTTGACATTTTACTGGCCTGGGGCCAACCGGCTAGTGGTGGTGTCGAGTTTTCGTGAAAATCTGATTTTTCTCTCCAAAATCTGATTTTTCAGGATAATAGTCTGTTTTTTTGTGTGTCAAGAGGTTGGCATCTCTGATTTCATACTGACAAAGAGTGTATCCAGGGAATAAATCATCAAGACCGTTTCAATCCTATGACGTTCCTGGATTGGAAGAATTAATTCCTGTGCCTTTTCTTGATCCTTTGAAGGTGACCAGACTGCCAAGATGAAGTACCTGTTCAGAGATGCCCGCTACTTCCTCATCAAGAGCAACAACCATGAGAACATTGCTCTTGCCAAGGCTAAGGTAAGTGGTGGTGGGTGGGGTGCAGTCATTGATCGGAAAGGTGGTTCGAGAGTACGAGAAGTAGATTGAAAGAGAAGGGGAGAAGCAGAGAAAGAGGAGAAGAGAGGGAGAGAGCTAGGGACAGTGGAAGAGTGACAAGTGATGATGTAAAGATATATCAAATAACTGGAATTTCCTTGCAGTTTTGTCAAAACTTCTGCCTTTTAGTGTTCTCACATCATACAAACGCTTTAGGAATTGCACTTTGTACATTCTTTCGATATCTTGTGGATTCCTAGAAATTGAACAAATTTGCATTTTTTGCAGTATTGCATATTTCATACCTAACATCGTATAAAGTAAAAATAACTCAATCCTGTACTATTGCAATACCAATTAAATAAAAAGGTTAAGTACTGCATCACGTTTCTCCTCCCCAGAGAAAGTGCAAATTAAGTTAGCTTTGTATTCACTCTCATTATTAAACAGTTATTTTCATTTCTGAGTTCTGACTTCTGCATCTACAAAGGTTGAAGGTTAAGGCCAAGTTGCAAGGAGGTTGAAATGAGTGGCTGTCTGGCTGATATGAAATCACTTTGAGTGGTTGTGTTTTGGTGTTAAACGAATGAAGTGGTTGGAAATATGATGGTGATGATGATAACATTTGTATTGATGGAAAAGAGCATTGCGGATTTGATTCATAATCTGCAATATTTTGATGGGAAGATTCACTGTCATATCATGCAGGAGAAGATTTAAAAAAAAACAGTTTATCTATGAATTGTAAAGTATCTATTAAGATGTCTACATATGATATCTGATTGTCAAAGATTATAATAATTGGATGAATATTTCATACATGTAGGTAAATGAATTGTGTCATGTATAATAAATAGAACCTTCAAGGTATATGAATATTCAATATGTAAAGTTAGTACTGGACAGGTGAAATTTTTTGGAAGCAGACGACAGTGTCAGACATGCAGGAATCAACTTTGTGGAAACAGTGGAAGCCAGTATGTGTGTTGGGAGTATGGAATGGCAAGAACTGCGCAGTTGACGACGATCTGCATCGACAGTGTGCCATAGTGATTTATGGAATGGCTTGGTAATGCAGATAATGCGGCGGAGAGGAGCTGTACGATAGGCCTAGTGAATACCAGTTGTGATGAAAAGCGATCTTCAGATGTTTTGCAAAGTGGAAGCATACACTATGTTCATCAGCAATTGTGAGTCGTCTCGGTGAAGCAGCTTCATTCTTGTTTCAAGATTGGATCCCCTGACGATATCGACGATATCAGGAGGTTGTGCCATGGAATGTCATTTTGGATTGGACGTGAGTGTGACTTGCATTAGTGGAAACACATTAAGTGAACTTTTTGAAAACGCTCTTGGTACTTCGATCATAAACTCTCAAAGAACTGAATAAAAGAACATTCAATTCTATCTCGATCAAGAGCTTAATAAATGAACTATCTTACCAATACCTTTGCAAATGCACCACCAATAGCTTGATATGAACATTTTCAAAAAGAAAAAAAAGTGCATTTGTGTAATTTAATCTTCACTTATCATGGACAATTTCTGGAAAAGGAATATGAAAAACAATTTGTATTTGTACAATTCTTGCCATGGACCTATCTAATCTGGCCTTGAACTTCAATCCACACTTTGACGCTATTGTTTTGACGAAGTGCATCAGTGGACGTTGATTATCAGAATGAACCTCTTTGTTTCTACATGTAGTTCTCAGCATATATAATGTAGAAATGATTTCTTCTCCATGTTTATGTTTACTTCTAACATGTTCTACCTTCTTACTGTCTTGTGATCTATTAACAGCACTCAGAATGAGTGGGAGTAGAAGAAAGCGATGACTTAATTTTCTAATAATTGTTACTTTTGGAGATGAAGGGAAATGCCAATATATAGGGTTTGATAAAGAACTCCAGCTTTTTTACCAAGTGATTGAAAAAACTTTTGAAGGTAATACAGAGTGTTGGTAAAAGTTAGCATTGATTTTAAATTGTGGAGCGCCAGGAGTGTCAAGTTTGACAGACACAAGGGCTGTACAAGAACCTGCTACCATTGTAAATTTGATTTTCTGTAATTTTCCAATTTTTGAATTTTCGAGACACCTTGGGGATAGAAAACAACAGTAACTACCCATAGAGTTCACTCTGGAGTCCTTTCATTCTTGGGAAATCAAACTTTTGTTTAGAATATAATTAGGTTTACCTTTCCGCTGTTTCTCCTGTTATGGCTGGTTCTCATGGATGAAATTGTTGCTTATCTTAGAAATAGCTCATAATTTTCCATCCATGGAGATAAATGTCACAATTGCGAAATATAAAAATGTCAAGATAGCAAGAAATAGACTTCCCCCAAAGAACAATGATAAAGAGGGGAAAGCGTAATTTTCCAGAAGGACTGGAAATAATGGCCTATTTTAGCTTTCAAAGCTAACTAAAGAAAACTATCAGATAAAGACCCCCCCCCCCCCCTCACCCCGAAAAAAATTAAAAAATGCACCAAGGGAAAATGAACATCCATATCCTACACTAACACTTTGCATTAATTAAAGAAAGAATTCAATCTTTGCAGAGTGTATCTTGGGCATTTTAGGAAAATGCTCGCATAATTTAGTTTTTAAAGATTCTGTTGTAATGCAAATGGGAAAGTGCTGGTGTGGGGAGACAGTTTGAAGAAAATAAGTTACTGCTAAAAAAATTAAAGAAAAAGACAATATGAAGAAATTTAAGAAAGAATGCCTTGTACATGTAAGTACTCATATATACAAGTGCTTCAGTTTGAACTTTCTTCACTCCTTCATCCTGTGTGTTGTAGATTATCTTTGTTGCATGTTTAGTAGATCACCGTATTGTACAGGTTTTTGAGCAATGTAAGGGTTTCTATCTCCATACATTGTTTAAAATTTATCAATATTACCAATATCACTTCTAACATTACCTTCTTTAATTGTGTTTTCACCAGGGTTCCTCGAAAGTCCGGAGCAGGCACCAACCAGACGAACCTGGTCCTGGGCAGGTGGGATTGCTGCAGGAGTCTTCCTGCAGAACAGTAGGCCGTGGAGGCAATTCTCACAGTGGCACCTTCCTAAGACCTGCCAAAAAGAATCGTAATAACTCCTACTCTGCTGCTGTTAACCATGCCTTGAAAAGAAAATATTCAACTGCGCCAGCCACAGCAACCTCAGAAAGTATACCTGAATGTTCTAGAACTGGGTATGCGGATAGTCGTGACAATAGAGAGCGTTCCCCCAAAGTCTTGAATGCAAGGACTCATTTTCAGAGGAATAGTGTATTTGATGAAGAATGTGAACGTGTTCACATTCAAGTGAAACAATCTGTACCTAGAACTTGCGAGAATTTGCGGGGGCGCTCACATGATAAACCTCCTGGGATGCCGCATAGATACATTTATCGAAGACAGAAGGCCCATTGTCCAGGGAGTAATAGGGATCCGGGTTTCTCTTACAATGGGCATTCTGACATTTCCTTTGAGTCTGCAGGCTTGAATGAACATGGATTGGACGACTTGAGCTTTGAAGATGATGATGGCGACGACGATGATGATGGTGCATTTTATCCTTCTCCAAGCCAACGCCGAAGAGAAAGTAGGTGGAGAAGGAGCAATTTTTCTGATAATTATTCAAACTTTGGATATGATGGTGGCCATGATGCTGGCCCAGACCATCATCACTTTACAGAAAGCTCAAGGATAGGTGATACTAGTGATATGGAAAGGTTGCTTCATGATGCATCCGCTAAATTGAATGATCAGGTGAGAGTTGACGTTCATAAGAAAACTTATTATATATCATGTACCAGTCATTTCCATATACAAGGGGCACAGACCTTTGCTGTAGAGTTGAATCTATGGCTTATGAATATGTAGTATCAAAGGAGAATTATTTTATTGAAATTAGAATTTCAGTCAATTTTTTATGGTGCCAGAGGCATGGTCTTCACGATTCCCCTTTTTTCTCATGCAATTTCCCTCATGTATACTTTTCTACAGTAATTGAAAAGAAGCAGCCATATTCACTATCAAGAGAGTGACTGTAATGTTAGAGGTACAAATAAATGCATGAAATGCAGAAATGGAAATTCATTTCAAGATTTAACAATTATTCTGTTCTCTTTTCTCTCCAGAGTTCCATGCATCACCGCATCCAGCAGTTGGAAAGTGTTTTGGGAAATGTGCTGGCAGTTTTAGGCAAACTGGTCCACAAGTCCAATGCACCCAGGTTGCAAAGATCACCCCGTAGGGCCAGGAGGAAAGTAGTGTCACAATATGAAGGCGCCTCAAGGTCTAACCATGCAAATGGCTTCAACAGATGGAGGGGTGACCCTGAGTATGTGAATGGAAAAAGGAGGAGGATAGAAGGAGACAGTGAATTGGATGAAAGACTGGTAGAGAATCCAGCTCGTCTGAATGAAGCTTGTGAAGTCCAACAGACTCTTGAAGGTTGCGGTACTCGAAGCGATCACTGTGAAGGTCCAGTGCAACATGATGGAGATGAAAATGCAGAGGAGGAGAATCCTTTATCTGATTCTGGATTTCAGATGGATTCTAGACCTACTGACAGCAGTCCAGACAATGATGGTGATATTATTGATGACCATAATGTAGGCTCTAGCAGTGCTGAAGCTTGTCCCCAAAATGGCCGAGTTGAGAATGATCATGAACAGAATATTGATAATTCACCCAATAATTCATCACTAAATGCTGTGAGCATGCATCAAGCTGACGAAAACATAGCACAAGGAAAAGAGGATGTCCATCTCTCTAGGTTGAGGTCCCCACCAGATGCTGGTGAACCAGGCGCAACCGAAACAGAGAATCCTGAGAGTGTTGTCCAAGAAACAACCAGTAGTCATGCAGCTAATGAAGTCATTCATGAAGAGACCAATGACACTTCTGCGTTAGAGGCAGATGAGCATTCTTTACCAGCAACCATTGCCAAGGAGAGGAACTACCAAATAGATGCAAGTGGCCCTGTCATTGTGCATATCAAATCTGAATTTAGTTGCGACACTAACTCATGGCCAGATAGTTCGCGCCCAAGCAATTCTTACAATCATCCAGAAATGGCTCCCCATGGTCGGGATCTCGTGGTGCTATCTGATGATTCCAGTACGTCCGATAACCCAGTGTTTATGTATTCAACCGAGGCTATAGACGCTGTTCAAAGTGCACAGGAGCAGCAGGAGAGGGCTCGTTTAAGTCACGAACAAGATGCAGAAAACATGCAATCTCTGCAGGAAATATTCACTTCAGTTACCGGGTCTAGTGCTGAGGATGTATTTCATAATGAAAATGAGCTTTTAAAGGACCAACATAGATGGCTGAAAGTAGATAATTCACGAAACAATTTCCAAGGAGATGAGAGTCAGTTTGATGGAGGAAGGACAGAACTTCCCTTCTCGGGTGTCCACAAATCTCAAGGACGTTCTGTCGATAATTATGTTCGTGTCACCAAGAGACGATTTGTGCAACAGTTTCCCGGGAGGCTGGCTCAACATGATGGTGCCATCCAATTGGGAGTTCAGAATGAAGTACCTCATGTTCTTGGCCAGAATGGGCACACACAGCACAAGGGTATGCCAGGCCAGTCACACCACTCCAGTACCAACCTTTCTGAAATGCATCAGAGTCACATCCAAAGACTGCAACAGAGTTTTGATCCTCACAGCTTCCATCCCCAACCACATTCCATTGACCCACACCCACAAACAAATAATTTTGGAAGAAGAACTGCCAATTTGAAGAATTCCACACTGAATGGACACACAGATTCTAATCTGCCAAGAACAGTCAATTGCACGAGTGATGTTCGCGCATTGAACACTTGCGTGAAACTCAGTAAAAAAGGTCTCCGTGATGGTAACAACCATCACACTGGTCCTCCACCCACCATGGCTTCAAGTATCTCAAACCTAGGTTCTTTGAAGCCCCACAATGTCATTCCGCGATCAGTGCCCAACAATGCTGGTCCAAACCCTCTTCATTTTGGATCGCAATACTCCAATAGCTCTCAAAGTCAGTCTCATTCCACGCAAGGCAGTCCCGCGATGCAGTGGAATCAGAAACTTCCCTGGCAGGCTGGCAACTGCTTCAGTCCCAATGGCAGTAGTGGACAAGGGCAAGGGCAAGGGACCGGTACTGCACAGTTTAATCCTGACATGGATACGCAAGCTGACGGTAAGTATTAAATCTTGTCTTTTATTTTTAAAATGTTTGTTTGATATGCTGCATTCTAGTTGTGAGAAATATTGTATCAATAGTGAGATTAAAGGCATCGTTTATCGATGTTAAATCTGAGATGTATGCCCCTACGTGTTATCAGTGTCTGTGATGTGGTATAATATTGAAGACCTACAAAAATTGCGCTTCAAAATGATCATGAAGTGCCTCCAAGGCTCCAAAAAGTAACTAAAAATCTTTGAGTAACCGGTTTTACCATGCTCATATTCCCCAATAGACTGTCGTGTTATAAAAACCGTTAGGAAAAAAAAAAATCGAATTCCAATCATAAATATCTTGATAATCAGACAGACGATCGGCTTGTAAAAGTCATGGGATTCCTGACTGACCTGAAGGTTGATAATTATGATTAGATTATGAGCTAAATCCAGGATTTTGTTTCAGAATTTGAGGCAATGTTACTGAGTTACTTTAAGCCTGAGCCACGACAGTTTTCCTGTTAACCAGGGCCCAATGGCTGAAAATCTGTATATACAGGATTTACCCTGTTTGACACAAAAAGAAAAATATTTTTTCCTGAATATAATAGCATGATGAACTGTTACTTAACATTCATGAGTGCAACTTTTTCTGTCAATTTGAACCATTACCTCGTTAAGATATATGACATGATGAACCACTCCCAAAAAGCTGCTACATTCTTTAAATGTGTAAATTATTGGCAACTGGGCGCAACAAAGGTCTTGCAAGTATTCAGTGAGCTCTGTGTTATAAGAAACAGAAATGTGAAATTTATTGCATTTTACATCGTCATTAATTTCTTTTATTTAAACGCCACAGTTTTTCTGTGTCACATCTGATGATCTGAACAAAGTATATTCTTGTGTGCTATTAAAGAAGGCTATATTGAGATGTACGGTGAACAACTAAATTATTCATACCCGTTGCAAATTTGATTTTTTTTTTTTTTTTTTTTTTTGTTTTTTTTTTTGGGGGGGGGTGTTTTTTGTAACTCAAGAATGAAAGGTGGATTGGTTGAATCAGGGTCTTTATTGAAAACTATAATATGTAAGCTTTAACATGTCACATTCTCATGGAATATAAATCAGGATGAATCACTTTTTTCACATGCTAAAAAAGATCACAAAAACTTGATAAGGGTATGAATAATTCAGTTAATTGTATCTTCGATCTTCTAGAGTATTCCCATGTTCCTATGAGAAATTCGATGAATTATAATGTATGATCCCCACATTTCAGGTATTATTGCGGACGTTCTGGCGCAGCGGAATTGGAGTCAGGCCCGCTCTGCTGTAGACGGGGCCACATCCCTGTCTAGGGCGTTGGCCCAGGCCCTCTTTGGGGACAGCATCCTCATCAAGAGCACTTTCAGGTCGTCTGGGAAAAGCAAAGACCTTACAGAACTGGATCCTGTTTTGGTCAAGAAAATTGAAAGTACGTTTCACCATGTCTTTGGTCGCAATTAACAATGATTTTTGATTTAGCAATGTATAAGAAAAGAAAAATACTGGTTAATGAAGAAAAAAAAAAGAAGCAATAAGGCCCTCTTTTTCATACTACTTTTAATTACCTATGTCTTACCTGGGGGGTGTTTCATAAAGCTGTTTGTAAAGTTACGCATGACTTTACAAATGACTTGTATATGAAGTGCCAGATAGGATGCCCAAAGTTTTTCCTGATACTTCCAATTAAGGTTACTTCCAATAACCTCAATTAAATTATGTTAAAAAATATACTTTGCATTAAAATTGTATGTAATAATAAGAATGTTAATCTACATCTGCACAGCTCAACTTAAGATAATGCAGTTAATAATGATTGAGCATCCATTTGGCTTTTCATATACAACTTGTTTTCGTAACTTTACGAACAGCTTTATGAAACACCCCCCCGCCCCCAGGTTTAATAGTAAAACAACAAAAACAGTATCAAATACATCTGTGTACTGTACTTTGTTTCTTGAAGAACTTTTGCAACATACCAATCTTTAGGTATTTCTTAATGATCCATTGGATTTATAACACTTTCATTGATTTTGTTTTTTTAATGGAAAGAACAAGCAAGTATTATTTAGTGTTGTAGATTGTTTCAATAAAAATGCGAAAAATTAGTTATTCATGCATGTAAACAAAAGAATAAATCTGAAATTGATGAATACTGACGTAGCTGTAGTTAAGACCAGTATTATCTGTTATCATATTTTGGAATGATGAATTTGTAATTTTTCATCCGGCACAAAAGATTGACGAAGTTTATGACACAGTCAGCCTGTTACCTACAAATGTTCATTGCCAAAGTTTGATATCTGTGCTTGGTCACTCTAATCTAGGTTCCCTCCGTTTTCTTCAAATTGCAGATGCAGTGATGAATATGTTTTGTCAAGGGAAGAACGTCAAGTTTTGCAAGCAAATGTGGTCTCTCTGCAAGCAGTCCCTCGGCCAACGAATGAAATATTTGCGCAATCGCTACAGCACATTATAATGCCCTGGAGAATACGGACATGCAAGTGCTACAACCCACAGTGCGATAGTCAATAACATTGTTATTGTGCACACATTGTGTATAAACTTGGGTGCTGCTGCTGCTTATAATTTGATGTCATATTTTGGCAGTCACATTGAACAAAATGGTGTCATATTTACTTGTAAATGCACAAAGTTGCTGCAATTTCACTTGATGCCCCTTTGAATGCAAACATCTGCTACAAGTTACTCAGACCAAGATCGTTCAGCATGAGGGTTTTAATCTGATGGTTTTGTCATGAATTTTACTTTTTAAAGGGGGTGTAGCATGGCAAATACTGGTTAACGCCATCTACGACTTCTTTTGGACAACTGCACGTAAAAGAATGGACTTGATTAACGGTCAGCATGCTCTAGTGTTCGCGAAACAGACCAAAGTTCTCCTCATGCTTCGGTTTCGCGTATGTTGCACGCACGTGAATACTGCGGCACGTCGTCCGTAGTTGTATTACAACCGATTGGTCCCGAGTCAGGCCGAGGGAAAGACATGTCGTCTCGTCATGCTTCACCACCTTTAAATGCAGAAAATTTGTTTATTCACAAAATCTGATTCCTTGTGATTGCCAATAGCCAATACTACATGTACACAATCTGCAACTGAATGTTGATACAAATGTGCTTCAACTCATCTGTTAGTTATTTTGATGCCATTTTTACTCATGAGAAGTTGCTATAATACAAAACGATGTCCCAGTAGTAACTACAACTCAAGTTAACACCGTTTATCATTACAGCTCGTTCTGATACTGTTGTGAATTCTGGAACAAAATATATCAAGAAAACGTCATTAAAAGGTGGCACCCAACTGCTATTAGTTGAGCCCAGCACACACTCTATGACCTGACCAGGTTCCATTTTTGAAAGAATTCACAGTAGCAATTAAAGGTGTAAAATATTACATGTAATAATTTATTACATGTAATAATCAAGTTTCAGAATACATGCAACTATATCAACAATAGAAGAACAATGTCTACAGACTCCAAGCTCATCTCAGCTCAGAATCGTAGCAACTTCATTTCAGTTTTATGATTGTCTACGATTTTAAATGGATTTGGCTTTGGCGCCACCTAGAAGGCATAAATTGACTAAAATTTGGAAATTTGACATTCATTTCATTTCTCAGAAACTCGATCTGGAAGGTGATATTTAATTATATTTCTATCTATATCCAATGCAACTGCGACTTCTTTTAGGATCATATTGCAGAAGGAACATATAGTGTGTGGTGGGCTTTAGAATGACAATAGAGTCACCGATTTGACGAGGGTCAAGAGGAAATGGCAAAAAATTAACTCTTACATGTCTATTTCATTAGTAATCATTAGTAATGGTATGTCAGGTTATTTGAATAAGATGGATGTAACAAGTAAGTCTTGTGGAATTTACAAAGAAATCATGAAGGTCATTAATACTGTACTAGCTCAATACAGTATATACATCTCACCTCTATGCTAAATCTATGGAAACCAAAGAAAAAAAATTCAATACTTATAGGTAAATCCAGCCTTTGTGTTCATTTGTATGAAAACAGAAAAAATAGCATCATTACTTAAAGGGCAATTCAGAAGAGCGACAGATGGTAGACAGTTTGAAATGGTAAATCAGATCCATAAGAAAGTTATAAATATTTTTGAATTTCATAAATCCTGTACCAATCATGTTTTAATTTTTTGTTACATGACGTGTACAGCTCTACAGCTATGTTTGTGATTCCCTTGTTTATCAATCACAGATAAAATGATCTTCTTGAAAAGGGATAATATGTATGTGTTCCTGGACACTTGTGTAAAAAAACTTGTTAACAATTACAAATTGCAATTAATTGTTGCATTTGATACTGAAGGTTGTGACCGCATCATTAGGGACTTTTAGATTTACACGGCGAGAACGTGGACTGCCACGTGTGACATCCTTTTAAGGTAATGTGATGTCCTTTTAAGGCGCTGCCGGGCACGGCCCAGTATCTTCACACAATGTCACACGCGGCAGTCCACGCTCTTGTCGAGTAAATCTAAAAGTCCGTATTTATAAAATTGTAGCACTGATATTCATACCAAGCCTTGTGAAATACGTGTAAGGGCCCTGGATATGTTTGTAAGAATCAGATTGGCTTGTTACTGTTTACTGCCCCCTGTTTGGAAGAACTGTCACTGAAATACTTCCAGAATAAATGCAATGTAATAAGATCCTATGATTCATGCTTGTTAAGTGACGATATGATGGTGTTTGTGAGAAAGTAACAAATGACTGGTGCACATGTGTACCCTTTGGCTCGAATTCACAAAGGAGGTTTAACTAAACTCATGGTTTAAACTCTCATTTACATTACCCATAGTGAAACAATTGTGCAAAATAAGCATAACTTGCCTTGCGCGCGTCTAATATTGGACCTCTGACTGTGTCGCCCTTATTTTGCGCCTATTTTTTAGACCATGTGTTATGTAAATTAAACCATGGGTTAAATTTAAACCTCCTTTGGGAATTTGTGCTATAATGTTTTCACGATACACTGTATTGGGAGGTGATATTGAAAGTTTTAGCCTCACTGGATTATGCGTGTGATACACATAATGCACCATCTGTAAAAAGAGATACTGAGAGAGATAGGAGAGAGAGAGAGAGAGAGAGAGAGAGAGAGAGAGAGAGCGGGGGGGGGGGGGAGAGAAGATTAAGAGAGAATAAATGAGGTATGTGAAGAGAAAATGGGGGTGAAATAAATGTGATCTTTCATGTTTTGCAGTACAGATTGTGTGCCGTTGATTGGAGTAAACTGGCGACCTGGTTGATCTACATGTACAAGCCTTTTATTAACCGGGCGCCGGGCGATTTTTACCCTACGGTCCCTGACTTTTGGCGCCCGGTAAGACGGGGAAAATGAGTACCGGGCGCCGGTTCATTTTTATTTCTGGCGCCCGGTCTGGGAGAATTAACATTTTCTGTTTCATAAACTTCCACATGTCTAGCACTAAATGTTCACAAATGTGACAAAAACTTACTTGATACGGTACGAGTTAAACATGGACTGAATGAACCCTAACAAATCATTACATAATGAGAATCCTAATTAAAATCGCCCAGAAACAATTGCAGCACTAATACGAGCGGCCGCTATCTCCTACTCCTAGCGGAGTACGGAGCACACAATACAGGGGATGTACACCACTCAAAGCTAAGACGAGCGCATTTCCCCAAGCCATGCATACACACACAAATGACATCAGTGCTGTACTGCACTACACACACAGTGTCAGTATAAGAAAGTCTCGATGTAACTTCCAAAAATCCATCCCAAAAGCCAAATTTTGCCGTCAAAAATGCGGAATCGGAGTCATATTTCCAAAGCTCACGGGGGTTTAGCCCAGGTTTAAGAAACAGTTTCATCAAAATAGCGCTAAAAATCAAGAAATCAGCGATTTTGTTGCCAGTTTTTTTGCCTATCGCATGCCCTTCGGATGTAATGGTATCTTCAAAAAGCCAAATGAAAAACAGAACACCGGACCTGCTGATGCATTGACTTTATGTACAAAGTTGATTGCAACTCCAGACTTGCCTTGATTCAGCGGCCCTCGTACTCATTGACTAAAATTCTGTGATGTTTTAAATAATGGATTTTTTTGATCAAATAGGTAAATATATTTAACAAATCTTTTATTAATTTTTTTTTATTATTATTATTTTTTATTTTTTAATAATTTTTTTTAAGTGACAGGTCTAAATAACAAACCCGTTAAACAGGCAAAAAAAAAATTTTCACCTAAAATATGCTTTTTCAAGCTGAATACCGGTAATAGTTTTTTGAAAGTGACAGGTTGGCAGCTCTGCATTGTCATTATAGATGGTTTTTCTTAAGTATTTTTTTTATAAAAATAATTTAATTCTCCCCTTCCTAACATTTTTCAATTTTTGACATTTAACGGCATGAAAATAGTATTAAACATGAACTACAACAACTACATATGACAGATTTATCCAAGGTATGAGTGATTTAATATAAGAGTGCTCAAAATGTAAACTGTACAAATTAAACTACCGTATGTATAAATAAAAGGTAACGTTTAACAAATAATTTAAAAGAATACATATTTTCATCAATTTTGGAAACGGCTCCTGGTCCTGGAAAACGGCTCCCGGTTCTCTAAAAAAATTAAGGACCGGGAGCCGCTTTTTCAGATATTTGGCTCCCGGTCTGCTTTGACTTAATAAAAGGCTTGTACATGTACATGTTTTCTCATTGAACTAAAACCTAGTCTTATGATGAAATATTTTATTATTGTTTATAATGTTATATTGATGCATTGTAGATTTAGAGAAACAGCCAGAGAATGATTTTATGCCGAATGAACGTACACATTTTAGCCATGACTGATGAACATAAATTGAATTAACCAACTCAGAAGAGATCCTGATTAACAAGACCAATACTGGTACTTCTTTTAAACAGAACATTTTGTCAACATAAATAACGAAGCATTCAATAATTTGGACAAATATTGTTGCCTTTAGGATCACTATCTGGTGAAAGAATAAAACTTATGCTTGATCTCCTTAAAGCTCATTTTTTCATGCAGGAACGATTTCATTTTGATTTTGTTGTTATGATTACAGGGTGTATGGTCTACATTACCTTACAACGAGCAGAGATTAAACGCGGCATTCCGTGAGGCCAGAAACGTGCTCCTAATCTTCTCGGTCAAAGAGAGCGGCAAGTTCCAAGGTAAGATTTGCTTCAGAAAATATTCTCATATTCTTAATATTAATTTTCATAATGTACTCAAATTCAATTTATAAATCTTTATTAAGTGCCATGTTACAAATTAATTCACTCACATAATTGTATTTCATTAGTCGGAATTTGCATAATCGGTCAAGTTTTTTCTTGTGAAATTTATATCCAACAATATAAAGGTCTATAATGAGCAGGTCTTTTCCCAATCCATTTATATACAACTACAATGTACATAATCAGAGCTGCCAACCATTCCGTTTTTGCCGGAATTACTCTGTTTTTTCCTCCCAATTACGGTATTACGTTTTTTCTTCATAAAATACGTTTTTTAATAATTTTTTTTTTTTTTTTTTTTTTTTTTTTTTACATACTGCACGTCAAACAACTGCCCTGAAATGGTGATTTGATCACAAATTCAATAGAAAAATATTCTCTGAAAAAAGGAATGACGATAATACCAAAATAACCATCAAAAAAACTACCTGCTTGTATGGAAAAAACACTAACAGCTTGGAGAATGGGAGAGCCAAATGGGATGCTCAAAGTTTTTCCTGACATTTTAACATTTTAAAGTGTGACTGTATTTCCCATAATCTCAATTAAATTGTAGCCAAAACTACACATTAAAATGTTTTGTTGATAATGATATGGTTAATCTACATCTGCATATTTCAACTTTAGCTTATGCAATTAAAAAGATTTGAGAATCCCATTTAGCTCTTCATATTCAAGTCATTCGTAAAGTCATGTGAACTTTAAGCACAGCTTTATGAAACGACCCCCCGATATGATTATTTTTTTTCCTTGATAGGATTTGCGCGGATGCGATGCGAGTCCCGCAGGGATGGCCAGCCCATCAACTGGGTGCTTCCCAACGGCATGAACCGCTCCATCCTGGGAGGGGTGTTCAAGGTCGATTGGATCACCCGGAACGAGCTGCCTTTCACCAAGACGACCCATCTCTATAACCCATGGAACGATAGCAAACCGGTCAAGATTGGTAGAGATGGACAGGTGAGATACTATCTTGCTATTTATGGGGGGTGTTTCACAAAGACTAAGATCGACTTTAAGTTGGACTTAACTATGGCAGGCCGTACATGCCACTTGTTGCTCTCACCATTGGTCTCTCAATTATGATCTTTAGTTTCCTTCAATAATGAACTATCAAAAAACGTAATTATGTAGATTTGTAACCACGATTTATACGTCCCTTGAGAGACCAATGCCAGTAAAACGTGACAGCAAACAGTGGCATGAACAGCCTGCCATAGTTAAGTCCATATTAAAGTCGATCTTAGTCTTTGTGAAAGGCCCCTCTGGTTGTATTAGTCCTTAGAAAGTTTAAATGAGACCAAATGTATAAATCCTTGTAAAGTTTAGATCAGGGAATATTAAAGATATATAGACCACTAGTTAATGATCCAATAGACAGAAATACAATATGTCACCAAGCTAAATCGAAAGCCCAAGACAGAACGCAGCAGAGAAAACATGCAAATCGATGCTTCCCAGGATGAAAATGTCGTCAAGAACGGATAAAGACTATGCAATATACAGTCAGGTGAAGAGAAACATAAAGCTTAACAGTCTTTCTCTCTCTCTCCTAATTTATGTTTTCTAGTCGATGTCAGGCTATCCCACAATAATTGAAGAGTATGATTGTGTTATTTTTTTGTATTGGGAGTCAAGAGGGATGACAGATGAAATAATATGTGAAGTTATAGGACAGACACATAAAGCTTAACGGTCTCTCTCCTAATTTATGTCAGGAAATTGAGTCCAAGTGCGGTGAGAGCGTTTGTCGGCTGTTTCCCCGTGACGAAAACATTGACGTCGTGGAGATTCTCCGTGCTGCTCGCCGCCGTAGAGAGGAAGGAGGCCACCACCCACGACCTGTGCCAAAAGTGCGATTAGAGTAAGTATTTTATACAAACTTGCTGGGTTTTCATTGATTTAATGTTAATAAAATTTAAACAATTTTCTTCCATTTTCTTGATAATTCATATGTAAATGTACCGTTGTGTGCCT